ACGTTTCTCTTTTACAGCATCTGTACAGAAAGAATGACCCAAGAATGACTAACACGACCAAACCTGTAATCACCACTCCAGCCACGATTCCACCTGTGTGACCTGAAACATCCCAAATCACATTTAAGTTTATACGGTTCTGTGTGAAAACAAAAACACATCTACAGTCCAGTTTGGACTGTAACCAAGTCCTGGTTTAGTCCTGGTTTAGTCCTGGTTTAGTCCTGGTTCAGTCCTGGTTTAGTCCTAGTCCTGGTTTAGTCCTGGTTCAGTCCTGGTTTAGTCCTGGTTCAGTCCTGGTTTAGTCCTGGTTTAGTCCTGGTTTAGTCCTGGTTTAGTCCTGGTTCAGTCCTGGTTTAGTCCTGGTTTAGTCCTGGTTCAGTCCTGGTTCAGTCCTGGTTTAGTCCTGGTTCAGTCCTGGTTCAGTCTGGTTTAGTCCTGGTTTAGTCCTGGTTTAGTCCTGGTTTAGTCCTGGTTCAGTCCTGGTTTAGTCCTGGTTTAGTCCTGGTTCAGTCCTGGTTTAGTCCTGGTTTAGTCCTGTTTAGTCCTGGTTTAGTCCTGGTTCAGTCCTGGTTTAGTCCTGGTTTAGTCCTGGTTTAGTCCTGGTTTAGTCCTGGTTTAGTCCTGGTTTACCTGATGTCAGAGCTTCGTTCACAAAAACCTCAGTAACAGTGAGGTGAGTTTGTTGTTCTGTGGTGAGTTCACACGAGTAAAGTCCCTGATGATCCTGGTTTAGATTCTTTAAAACCAGATCTGGTCCAGGTCTTAGCTCCGCTCTGCTCTCCCAGCCCGGACCGTAAACCGGGACTGATCCGGTCTGGCTCACAATGGTCTGGGTCCTGTTGAAAGTCCAGTTCAGGGTCTTGATGGGGCTGGTTGAGTCCGAGCAGGAGACTGTGGTTTCAGGACCAGACGCAGTGACACGACCTGAGACAAAAACACAACTTTACTTTAGTGATTTAACAGCAAAACAAACAAGCAGGAAGTAAGATTTTATGACATTAAAGCTCCAATATCACACAAAAATTACTCTTTAGAGCTTTAAGTCCTGTTCTAATGTTGTTCCCTCATCAGAAACAGACCTGGAGTTTTGTTTTGTTTCATTCACATGTTTGAGTAACGCTTTATCATTAGTCTGTCTAGCACATATGTCCTGGTCTCAGCCACTGTGTTTAGTGCTGGTTCAGTCCTAGTTTAGTCCTGGTTTAGTGAGTTGAGTAGCACACATGAAGAAATGCAGATGATGCAGCTTTTAAATGGCCCATCTCATGCAAAATCAACTTTTCAGAGCAACTTTTCTACCTTCTAAGACTGATGTGTGGGCCTTGTATTTGTTGCTGAAGTGGTTTTTAGATTGATTGATTGATTGCTTTTTTAACAAACTGTTAAAAAAGTCCTGAGCTCAGAGAACATGAAGAACATGTAGAACATGTAGAACATGTAGAACATGAAGAACATGTAGAACATGAAGCAGTTACTCTGGTCTCACCTTCCACTCTCACAGTGACAAACTTTACTCTGCTGGTGACTGTGTTCAATGTGCTGGTGACACACTTGTATCTTCCTTCATCCTGAACTTTGACCCCTGAGAGCCGCAGTGATGCGTTTCCTGTGGACAGTTCCTCCTCATACAGAGAGGTCTGACCTCTAAAGTTCTGGTTCTGGTGCTGAGGCTGGTTCTGACCGTGATAGAAACTGTGAACTGGAAGATCTTCTGGGATTTTTACCCAGTAGATCACAGGGTTCTGGTCCAGGACTCAAAGCTGCAGGGCAGAACACAGGTCTCCAGAAGAACACAGGAGACAGCAGCGTCTGAGGGAGAAGACATGAGACGCTCAGAGTCCTTCTGCAGTGAACCAGCTCAGAGACACACTCAGAAACCCCAGTGAGGCAAATGTCCTCTGCATTTGACCCTTCAGTGTCTCTGGGTCCTGGAGCAGGTTTTGGATTCACAAACAAAATACATTTGTGCAGCTCTTCGTGTCCTTCAGGTTGAATCTAAATCTGTTTCATTATTTAAAATCATAATTATTCTTCTGTGGGTTTGTGTTGGACCTTTCACTTTCATCATATTTAAAGAGAAGTGAACATGTTCAAACCAAACGAGTGTGAGTCAAAGTGTTTTCATGTCTGGGGTTAGTACCTGTGTGCACCACTAGATGGAACCAGAACATCACAGATCCACAGTGAAACCGAAAGTGTTTTTTACTTATCAGAAACACGCAGCCTGTGTGTGTGTGTGTGTGTGTGTGTGTGTTTTAACTGAAAAATAACATCATACTTTAAAAATAAATGAGTTAAACTACAGTAATGTGATAAACCTGAGACTGCAGGGACCATTACAAAAGTCTTATTAATGATTCACACACAGAGAAAGAAGTGACATTTGCGTTTATCTCCATAAATATTAAACTAGAACAAAGTTATAAACGTTACTCCACAGTCACATGAAAACACAACACCTGTAATCTAGAGTCACGTGAACTTTAACGAGACACAAACACAAACAGACTGAACAGAGAAAACAGGACAATCACTTACATATTTAAGTCGTTTCCGTTTTTCCACGGACGGAATAAAAAAAAATGTTGTGTGGGACTTACCTTTTAAAAAACAACATTTAAATACAGACATCACTATCTGGAGAAATAAACCAAACTGCAGCATGTTTGGTGAAGTTTCCTGGTTTTCTTCTTCATAAAAACACTTCACACTCTGTAGTTGACTTCAGCCACACGCCCAAAAGAAACGGAGACATGAAAATGTGTGTCTCTCCTCCACAGTCCCGCTGATGGGGGAGTTCAGGGCAGGACAAAACTCCAGCATCAGTGTCATGTCTGTGTTCGCCAGCAGAGGGCGCTGTCGCTGCAGTTAATAATGTGACACAGATAAATGTGTTTTTATTGGGGTTAGTTTTTTTGTTCCTTTGCAACATAAACATGCAACAGACATTAGACAGGACGATACAATAAGTGCAATACAGAACAACACAAATGCAAACACCACCATAGCAGACAAAGAGTGTGTGTGTGTGTGTGTGTGTGTGTGTGTGTGTGTGTGTGTGTGTGTGTGTGTGTGTGTGTGTGTGTGTGTGTGTGTGTGTGTGTTTTCATGTGTTCGCAAACTTCAGTCTCTCTCTGACTTAACACTATGACGGAGCTGAAATGAAACATAGATACACTTAATGCCACACTGGGGAACATTTCAGGCAACACAATGACATCTCCATGACGTGGACTCGACTCGACTCAACTTCAGAAACTGAATTTATTTGGAATTTCAGTTTAAACATTACAGAGAAATGAAACATTGTGCTCATGTCCAAGTTATCAACAGCTTTAAAAATACTTCTGTAAATACAAACTCTAGTTTTACATCAACATGTGAAGGTCATAAACAAGTCCAGCTGGAAAACATTAAAAAGTAACTGTTATAAATAAAAAATATATAAAGATTTTTCTTCAAACAAACTGCAAACACAGAACATTCATTCAGAAATTTTAACTCTGACTGAGCTGGATTTCGATTCATGTAAAAGTGCACATGTATAAAAAGTTTTCAGTAACAGTTGAATATTGAAGTAAACTGGCTGGACAGACGTAAAACTTCTGTTATTCCACAGAGAAACAGAGTCTAGTTCTGTAAAAAGGAAAATTAACAGAAGAGCAAAAGTAACAAGAGAAAAGTGACATTAAGTGTGTGTGTGTGTGTGTGTGTGTGTGTGTGTGTGTGTGTGTGTGTGTGTGTGTGTGTGTGTGTGTGTGTGTGTGTGTGTGTGTGTGTGTGTGTGTGTGTGTGTGTGTGTGTGTGTGTGTGTGGTCCAGTCATTAATGCAGATTAAATCTTCAAAATGATCAGAACTTTGAATATTTCTGTAGGATGAAGTTGTTCTGGCTACAGGCGAACAGTAAAGTGCAAGAGAAAGTGTGTGTCCTATTAAATATTATATTAAAATTTTAAAATCATGACCTAATTGACACAAATGTTATGTGTTATGTATGAACCTAAATGTGTTGCACCGTTTTCTACCAGTAGATGTCACCAAGCAACTAGGTCATGTTTAAGTTGCAGAGTTTTGTATTCAATAAAGAAAAAGTGAATGAATCAGTGAACGTGTGTGTGCATAGCTCTGTGTGTTGTGTAAAAGTGTTTGTATAGTGACATAAAAGAACAAAATAACAATCTTCTCATTCAAGTGCACCTGTACAGAGTTACAGAACAGAACATTCAAAAGTAAAATGCAGTGAGAGGTTTTGGGTTAAATCTCTGATCTCCACATTACTGTAAATGATTTATTATGAAGTGTTAAACACTTCTCCCTCTGATGTCTCACAGACAGAAAAGGAGAAATTCTGTCAACTGGATCAAAGTTTTTAATCAAAGACGTTTTGCAGCTCATCCAAACAAGTTTGTCCAGCAGCGTCTGACCAGAACTGAACAAGCAGCTTGGATGAGCTGTGAAACGTTTTCAATCAAAAACTTTTATCCAGTGACAGAGTTAAATTTCTCCTTTGCTATGGATCCTACCTTCTTGTTATATGATGGATGGATCTTCCTCCTGTTTGCAGTGTGAAGCTCCACTTGGTTCAGTTGGTTTGGGAGATCATTCTCATGTGGACTCAAGTATTTTGTGGCACTGGCAGTTCCTCCAACAATGATGTGAATTAAAGTGGAATGTTGGGCAATAAATTAAAAATATTTCATAATTGTTCTTTTTCCAGTTTAGTCCCAGTTCAGTCCTTGTTTGGTTCAGTCAAGGTTCAGTCCTTGGTTCTGTTTGAAGAAAAATGTTTAGCCCAAAGTTGGATTTTGTTAATCCTGAAAAGAGATCAGCTCAGGAGCTAGATAAGTCTGAAGTGGAAGGGTGGAGGCCAGCGAAGACTGACGACCACCATGGACTATCATCAGTACAAATGCACCAACTATAATTATCCACAAAGATAAGAGTTTTCCTGTAGAAAGAGAAGAGTGTGTGAAATCCTTGTGTTCAGATGAAACCAGGAGTCACTGCTCACACTTACCTCCTGTCTCTGTCTGTGTCTCTGCTTCAGTGACTTCAGTGAGGATAATAAAGTTCTCCTGTTCAGTCTTGAGTTCACAGGAGAACAGGCCCAGCTGCTCTTTGGTCAGATTCTTCAGGATCAGACTGTTGGACTCTGTGACTCCAACAACAAACTGTCTCCAGGACTCAGTGTAGACCGACTCTGGTCCAGACCGACTCAGAATGATCTGATTCTGGTTGAACCTCCAAATGAGACTCTTCACTGGAGCAGAGGGTTCAGTGCAGGAGATTGTCACATAATCTGAAACATCTAAAACAACAAAACAAAAGGATCAAGTAAAAATATTAAAATAAGACAGAGCTCTTTATAACTGATCCTAAACACAAACCTCTGTAATAATAAATGACACTGTTCCTCCTGTAGGTGGCGCTCCTCCAGCTGCCCCTGCTGTTGCTCACATTACAGCTGTATTGATGTGGAGGGCTGTGAGGCAGAGACACAGAGCTGTGCACAGACCACACTCCGCCCTCTGAGGGGGTCACCGTGGTAAGAGCTGCAGAGGAGGGAGGGCTCCAGGACACTGAGGGTTTGGGGTAGACTCCCTCAGATCTACAGAGGAGCTCCTGCCCCTGCTGCTGCAGAGACACTGGAGCTGGAGCTACAGAGAGAGGAACATGAAGAACATGAAGAACATGAGGAACATGAAGAACATGAAGAACATGAGAACATGAAGAACATGAGAACATGAGGAACATGAGGAACATGAGGAACATGAAGAACATGAAGAACATGAAGAACATGAAGAACATGAGAACATGAGAACATGAAGAACATGAGGAACATGAGGAACATGAGAACATGAAGAACATGAAGAACATGAGGAACATGAAGAACATGAAGCAGTTACTCTGGTCTCACCTTCCACTCTCACAGTGACATATTTTCCTCTGGTGACTGTGGTCAATGTGCTGGTGACACACTCGTATTTTCCTTCATCCTGAACTTTGACCCCTGAGAGCCGCAGTGATGCGTTTCCTGTGGACAGTTCCTCCTCAAACAGAGAGGTCCGACCTCTAAAGTTCTTGTGCTGGTGCTGGTTCTGGTTCTGACCGTGAAAGTAACTGTGGACTGGAAGATCTTCTGGGGTCTTTAACCAGAGGATCACAGGTTCTGGTCCAGACTCAAAGCTGCAGGGCAGAACACAGGTCTCCAGAAGAACACAGGACACTTCTGCATCACCTGAAAAACACAAGTTTATTATTTTTACTGCACCAGGTTTAAATAAATCAATAAATCAACTAGAATTTACTCAATCTAAACAGTCACACACTTTCATTTCTTTAAGTCTCACAGTTAGACTTAGACAAACTTTGGACACAGAGGCTCACACATCACAATATAATATAATAACAAAGAGAAATAGTAATAATAAATTCTAAGAAATAAGATGCAAAAATAGAAAGAGTCAAGTGTCAAATAAGACATAATTATATAAATGTGAGGAAAATCAAAGATGATGTGATGATTGACAGGACAGAGTATTATCTGTTACATAAGGGTGAGTTTACAGTTGTAGGGAGTATTATCTGTTACATAAGGGTGAGTTGTTGTACAGTTGTAGGGAGTATTATCTGTTCCATAAGGGTGAGTTGTACAGTTGTAGGGAGTATTATCTGTTACATAAGGGTGAGTTGTTGTACAGTTGTAGGGAGTATTATCTGTTACATAAGGGTGAGTTGTTGTACAGTTGTAGGGAGTATTATCTGTTACATAAGGGTGAGTTTTACAGTTGTAGGGAGTATTATCTGTTACATAAGGGTGAGTTGTACAGTTGTAGGGAGTATTATCTGTTACATAAGGGTGAGTTGTTGTACAGTTGTAGGGAGTATTATCTGTTACATAAGGGTGAGTTGTTGTACAGTTGTAGGGAGTATTATCTGTTCCATAAGGGTGAGTTGTTGTACAGTTGTAGGGAGTATTATCTGTTCACATAAGGGTGAGTTGTTGTACAGTTGTAGGGAGTATTATCTGTTACATAAGGGTGAGTTGTTGTACAGTTGTAGGGAGTATTATCTGTTACATAAGGGTGAGTTGTTGTACAGTTGTAGGGAGTATTATCTGCATGTATATCTGTGGTGGAATGTTCTGTGGTTACCATGGAGACATAATGCCCACATTAGCACAAAAAAGTTTTAAGATGGTCTGAAAAATAAAATAAAACTGGATTTGCTCACATTTTCCGGAGCCTGTGGTGCATTTTTGGTCCTGAACTTTTCAAACCTCCCAGAGTAAAGTGTGTGTCCTCACAGCAGCTCCTCACATGTTAGTAGAATTCTAGAGTTTTCTCATATGTATCTCATATTCTCATACACACTAATGGTTTAAACACTGACAGCAGTTGTCCACTCTACAACTTCAGAACTTTTAGCTGCATAAATATGCAAAACTAAACAAATGAGCTACAGGTACAGTGGGGATGATTTTAGACAAGACGGAAATCTGATAATCAAATTCAAAAAGTTGATTGTCAAATTTCCATATGAACATATGAGAAATTTAAATTATGTTCTCACTCTGAATCTTCTAAATTAAATAATAATAAAATAAAAGGAAAAGGCCAAAGTTCTTCTTTGGCCCTAAAATACAACCACAGCATTGGAGGAGAGGGACTATGGACGTGTACGACGGACAGATTAGTGATCTTTAACCTCGTCTTTCTTCCTGATGTTTGAATTTACTGTTGAGTGCAATTTAAAGTCATTTGTGGGATTATTTTGGGAGGATTTGATGAGTTGAGTGAAGTTGCCCGTTACTTTCCACAAAAGTTTTCTCTACGTAAATATGTCAAAAACGACTAAAAGCGTCGCTCAGATCGTGAGAATCGGCTGCAAAGAATCAATCCAAGTCTCAAAAAGTGAGCACAACTCCAAAAATAAAATCTTCCCCAAAAGGACAGAAACAAAATGCGATGGAAACGTTCACTTTTGTTTGGAGTAGTCTCACTAAACTTTGTTACTAACTGATGTAATGTTGATTAATTAAGTCTAAATAAATATGTATATATTATTAGTATTAGTTATTTATCTTTTCCCAGGGTCTACTGCTGGGGTCTGTATGTCCTCCTGGTTCAGCTGATGTGCTGCTGCAGCCAAATGAATGAAAATGAAAATTTAACTCACCTTCAAACGCACAATGTGGTAAAAAAGAAAAAAACAAGGTCCCAAGAAACAGCAGAGGAGCGGATGGAGACATTTTATAGATGCAAAAATCCTGAACACAGATGCGTGTGTCCTGTTGTTTTTGGATCCTTGTCATACTTGACCTGGCTATAAATATTGGCTAAATATATCACACTTTTATTTCCTCGTACCTGTCACCTGGTTCTACTAGTTCATCTCGATTCTTTGAGGTGTGCGACCTCTGCCTCACAGCATCATATGTTGAAAAATCTACTTTGGCCTCTGAAATGTTTGTTATATAGTTAGTCAAAACACAAGTTAGCACGGGGATAAACTAAATAAGTCCAGTTTTTCTTGTTGACGTTATATGAAGTAATAGTTTATTGGTATTATGATTTTATACAACAAAATCTTCAACTTATTTATTTTTAATTCTGTTTTATTTTGTTTCTTTATAATTTAGGCATTTATGTTTTTTTATTTTTACATATTATTATTATTGAGATATAAATAAGGAATTAGAGAGATTGTCGCCATGGTAACCTGCAGTAAAGAATGTCCAGTTGCAGCAGATTTGTTTCGAGTAATTCTTTACTTTCAATAATATTTTTCCCTTTAATACTTTGATAATTGTTAGATTTTTTTGCATTTACACTTCATCTGATGTCCAGGTTCTACCAAATCTAATGTCAACTAGAAAAAATACAAAATTAGGTTGTATATTCTTCTTTTAAAGTAATCAAATTTTGTGTCCATACGGTGTTTTGACACACAAACACTTTAATTCTGCATAAAATATAGAGCAGTGCAGTGTTTTTGGATGAATATTTATTTTCATAATTCAGAGTGACAGTCCTGTATTATTGGTGTTTTTCAGATTCTAGAATGTGATGGTGTTAAACTTCCAGACGGGGGCAGGAGACAGTTTTTCCTGTTGCTTTCACTGAATTTGCCATGAAATATTGGAAAGGTAAATTCACAAATATATTTCTAAGACTCTGCTGCATTACAACAAAAATCTGCAGCTGAACAATATTAATTTCACCTGCCCCCCATGTGTATGAAATAATATTGGCCTGTAGAATGTAGTGAAATCATCTAAAACCCAGCAAATGTGACCACAGATACACCATTATGTCCATTTTAACACTTAAATCAATGCATTTTCTGTCCGTTTTCACATCGTTTTCAATCAGAATTTTGCTCTTGTTTCACTCACAAGATGCCACATGGATCTGTACCTATCTATTACTATTACCTATTATCTAAAACTATTACTATTACTTATTATCTAATATTATTACTATGACTTATTCTCTATAAATATTACCTATTATCTATTATCTAATACTATTACTTATTATCTAATACTTCTGCTTTAACAAATAAGTTTCCATGTTGTTACATAAACTTATTGTACAGCATTTTCATTGTATATTTCACTTTCAGATGTAATTAAAAACATGTTACAAGTTTTACATTTCATATTTATTAAAAACAAAACTGTAACATTATTTCTGTACTAACTTTAGCTTTAGCTTTAGCTCAGTTCAAACTCAAAATGGCGTCCAGCCCGTGACCGCAGTAACTTTAACATGAACATCCTGTGCTCAAACTTTACAAAAATGTACTAAATAAATGCTCAGACATATTTATGAACAGCTCACAGTGTCTAATAATGAAGTGAACATCCGCCCGCGCGAGCCTGTGCCCGCGATGTGTTTTACTCACATCGTCAGTTCAACAGTGAGTGCGTTTACGTGAACATCAGTGTCCCGGTTATGATCGGGTTTTTTGAGTATCCCGGTTTCTTCATGGTGCATGTAAACGCAGTATCCCGGTTATTAGAAACCAGGTTACTGTAGCTGGTTTATTCCGATAGTAACATTGATACTGTGGCATGTAAACGCAGTATCCCAGTTACTGCAACATAAAGTTGAGTCACATGTGTCCAAAAGACAAACACTTTCCAGTCTTTTTACCACAACAGAAGTGACATAAATAAAGTGACCGACATAATAAAGAGACCGACATAAATAAAGTGACCGACATAAATAAAGAGACCGACATAAATAAAGAGCTGCTCTAAACCTGCACACGTACAATCTGCACTCGTATGACCTGCATGGTTATGATCACTGAAAAGCTAAAACATGAACTATCTCCTACACAGAACAGACTCACAATCATCAGCACCTCTTCTGTCACAAAAAGAACACACATAATCCACTGAGTCGTGTCTTTTAGTCCAAAAAAAAAAAAAACTGATCTCATCAGCGGCACAAGTAGGGAGCTGTTTTTATCACCGCTAACAGTTTATGCAAATTAGCCATGTGGTCTTAAGTTTCGTTCCTGTAAAACATAAACAAATGTGATCAAAGCTGAATGATCTGATCAAACGGGCTGATGTGGCTGTATAGTGGTTCTGGTTTATATGTTGTAAAGTTGAGTTTATTTATGCAGAAGATTTTAATGAAGAATCTGTTGGGTTTGATGTGTGCAGTGGATTGTGGGAAGATCTCACAGCTCCTTACGCTGGTTAAACCTCCCGACGCTAAAGGAGCTCACGGTTTGTATTTTTCCTGGTTTATTAAATTGATTTAAGTTAATTTTTGTGCTCGCACATTTGTAAGATTATGTCAAGAAACCGGGATATTCCATTTGATCATGTACACAGGGATACGAGTGTCCTGGTTTCTCAGAGCTCATGTAAACACAGTAACACGAACACTGACAGAACCGGGATATGGAGAATAACCGGGATACTAATGTGCATGTAAACACACTCAGTGTTCACATTTACACAGAAACATATGAAAGGTTTAATCTCAACACCAGGACTGTTTGGATGTGACACAAATGACTTTTTACCAACATGAGAAAGGAACAAAAGGGACAGATGTTTGGTTCTGTGCATCACAGGACTGCAGGGTTATTCTGTTTTAAAGGCCGTTTTCTGACTCCAGACAATGTCATATTTAAAACATAAATAAAATAGAAAAAATATGAAATGCATTACTCAGTGGGAGCTGTTTTTAACCCTTTCAGCATATTTAAATCATGTATTACTACATTAGCATGCTAGTTGTTACTATGACTGTAAACTTCTCATCTCTGAAAGTTGTGAAAAGCACTTACTGCTGTAAATAATCAGGATATTCATAAGGAAAGTGAGGAAGAACTTTGGACCACTGCAAACTGTTTCATCCTCTTAAACCACTCACAGTCGACTGTAGAGCAGCTAGAGTCAAAACTGTCAAGAAAGAGTCACTTCAAAATAATATTACTCAAGTAGAAGTCAAAAGTATTTGGGAAAAGTACTACTCAAGTGAGAGTAACTTAAAGAGGATCTGATTTAAAATTAAAAGTGAATGTGATGTGAAAGCTTTTACTGTTAATGAAAATATTACTCCAGTAAAAGTATGCAGCTAGAAAAGTACTTTTATAAATTTAAGTATTTTAACTGAGCACTTCCCACATTTGTAGAAGTCTTTGTCCAGGGAAAGTGATCAAAATGAAACAAATACATTCTATTAATTACACATAAAATACAATTTAATATAATTCAAACTAACAGAGAGAAAACTGAAGGAATGAGAGTCAGAATGAACAGATCAGCTCAAGATGACAGAACAGAACAGAACAGAACAGAACAGAACAGAACAGAACAGAACAGGACTCACTGTTTTATTTGCACCATTTTGTTTATTTCAGTCCATGTGAGACACACAACTGCAGATGTAATATAAACTGAGCCACATCTGTTTAACCAGAGCAAAAAGCACATGAAACATCACCTTTTATAATGTCACATCTGTACATTTAAAGATTAAATAAATACGTAAAAACAAAGGAAACTGAGGCTCTCAAAAGGAAGTGACCAAAGTGAAACACAGATGAGACTAAAGTCTCTAATGTGAATATTATTTATACTCACATATTTACAGAGACACATCCAACAAAAGGAAATGTTGTTCTCATAAACACTGACAGGAAACCAGGACTAAACCAGAACTAAACCAGGACTAAACCAGAACTAAACCAGAACTAAACCAGAACTAAACCAGAACTAAACCAGGACTAAAACAGGACTGAACCAGGACTTTTTCTTTGGATGACACTTGTCATTCAAAAATCACACATGATCATTGAAAACTGAAACGTAACAGAAACATGCTCCAAATATGATTCAAAGTGAGTAACAGTGAAACAATATTCTCAATAATATGAAACAATAAAACTCTGCAGTGTAGAGCAGGAGAACTCATCTACTGGAGGGTTTCAGACTCTAGAATGTTCTGAGGTCACACTCCCACTGACATTTCACTTTCAGAACAAATATACAACAGGAAAATTCACTAATATGAGGGGGACTGTAGTCCTTGGCAGAGGTCTGCGCTCTCTGACTGCTTTTCTAGTTCTTAATAGTTTCAGACTCTAAGCTCTTCTCATCCATCAAAGCGCCTCCTGACAGACGAATGAAACTAGTCCATCCACACTCTCCCGCTGTACAAAAGTGTAACGTTTGTTTTGATGCTTAAACACAGACAGAGCTTCAGATCACACTTACTCAGTTCAGTGAGGATAATAAAGTTCTCCTGTTCAGTCTTGAGTTCACAGGAGAACAGGCCCAGCTGCTCTGTGGTCAGACGCTTCAGGACCAGACTGTTGGACTTTGTGACTCTAACAACAAACTGTCTCCAGGACTTAGTGTAGAACAGCACTGGTCCAGACCGACTCAGAATGATCTGATTCTGGTTGAACCTCCAAATGAGACTCTTCACTGGAGCAGAGGGTTCAGTGCAGGAGATTATCACATAGTCTGAAACAACTAAAACAACAAAACAAAAGGATCAAGTACAAATATTAAAATAAGTCAGGACTCTTTGTAAAGGATCCTAAACACAAACCTCTGATAATAAATGACACTGTTCCTCCTGTAGGTGGCGCTCCTCCAGCTGCCCCTGCTGTTGCTCACATTACAGCTGTATTGATGTGGAGGGCTGTGAGGCAGAGACACAGAGCTGTGCACAGACCACACTCCGCCCTCTGAGGGGGTCACCGTGGTAAGAGCTGCAGAGGAGGGAGGGCTCCAGGACACTGAGGGTTTGGGGTAGACTCCCTCAGATCTACAGAGGAGCTCCTGCCCCTGCTGCTGCAGAGACACTGGAGCTGAACATGAGCTACAGAGAGAGGAACATGAAGAACAAGAACATGAAGAACATGAAGAACATGAAGAACATGAGGAACATGAAGAACATGAAGAACATGAGGAACATGAAGAACATGAAGAACATGAGGAACATGAACATGAGGAACATGAGGAACATGAGGAACATGAGGAACATGAAGAACATGAAGCAGTTACTCTGGTCTCACCTTCCACTCTCACAGTGACATATTTTACTCTGGTGACTGTGGTCAATGTGTTGGTGACACACTCGTATTTTCACTTCATCCTGAACTTTGACCCCTGAGAGTCGCAGTGATGCGTTTCCTGTGGACAGTTCCTCCTCAAACAGAGAGGTCCGGTCTGTAAAGATCTGGTTCTGGTGCTGGTTCTGGTTCTGACCGTGAAAGTAACTGTGGAACTGGAAGATCTTCTGGGGTCTTTACCCAGTTAATCACAGGTTCTGGTCCAGACTCAAAGCTGCAGGGCAGAACACAGGTCTCCAGAAGAACACAGGACACTTCTGCATCACCTGAAAAACACAAGTTTATTATTTTTACTGCACCAGGTTTAAATAAATCAATAAATCAACCAGAATTTTCTCTTTTTAAACAGTCACACACTTTTCATTTTTGTTTTAATTTGATGTTCATTTGTCTATTGATGTGTTGCACTGGTGTCATGCTGGGGGTGTTCTGCATGTACATCAATGGTGGAATTTTCAGCAGTTACCATAAAGACCCAATGCACATTAACAAACACTGCCAAACATGTTTTAAGAGAAGATTTGAGAGCACAGAGGGGGCAGTGTGGGAGGAGCCTCGTACTGTCTCTGCTGGGGGCAGTGTGGGAGGAGCCTCGTACTGTCTCTGCTGGGGGCAGTGTGGGAGGAGCCTCGTACTGTCTCTGCTGGGGCAGTGTGGGAGGAGCCTCGTACTGTCTCTGCTGGGGCAGTGTGGGAGGAGCCTCGTACTGTCTCTGCTGGGGCAGTGTGGGAGGAGCCTCGTACTGTCTCTGCTGGGCAGTGTGGGAGGAGCCTCGTACTGTCTCTGCTGGGGCAGTGTGGGAGGAGCCTCGTACTGTCTCTGCTGGGGCAGTGTGGGAGGAGTCTCGTACTGTCTCTGCTGGGGCAGTGTGGGAGGAGCCTCGTACTGTCTCTGCTGGGGCAGTGTGGGAGGAGTCTCGTACTGTCTCTGCTGGGGCAGTGTGGGAGGAGCCTCGTACTGTCTCTGCTGGGGGCAGTGTGGGAGGAGCCTCGTACTGTCTCTGCTGGGGCAGTGTGGGAGGAGCCTCGTACTGTCTCTGCTGGGGCAGTGTGGGAGGAGCCTCGTACTGTCTCTGCTGGGGCAGTGTGGGAGGAGTCTCGTACTGTCTCTGCTGGGGGGCAGTGTGGGAGGAGCCTCGTACTGTCTCTGCTGGGGGGCAGTGTGGGAGGAGTCTCGTACTGTCTCTGCTGGGGGCAGTGTGGGAGGAGTCTCGTACTGTCTCTGCTGGGGCAGTGTGGGAGGAGCCTCGTACTGTCTCTGCTGGGCTGTGGGGACTCTGCTGGGGCAGTGTGGGAGGAGTCTCGTACTGTCTCTGCTGGGGGCAGTGTGGGAGGAGTCTCGTACTGTCTCTGCTGGGGCAGTGTGGGAGGAGCCTCGTACTGTCTCTGCTGGGGGGCAGTGTGGGAGGAGTCTCGTACTGTCTCTGCTGGGGGCAGTGTGGGAGGAGTCTCGTACTGTCTCTGCTGGGGGCAGTGTGGGAGGAGCCTCGTACTGTCTCTGCTGGGGGCAGTGCAGAACCGACTCAGGTTTGTGACGCAGTGAGACTCAGGAGGAAAAGAAATCATCAAATCCTCATCAAAGAAGTAAAAGTGTGACAGTGTCTCTACAGTCTGTGTGAAGTGTCCACTGGTTTATTATAAGAGATAAACAGTCTGAGAAACTCTTTTCTTATTTTCACTGAATCAAAATTCTGAACTGTAAATTATTTAACCAAATGAACTAAAACACTTCACATAAACTCCAGCTGTGCACGAGTGTGTGTTGTGTTTCATTAACATCACAGTGTTTATTATATTACACTCATTAGCAGAAAAAAATTACTTTTTTTTTTGAGTCTTAAAACATAAAATCGAAATCAAATGGATATCGTGACCCGTGTATCGAGATATATAAAACTGTTTTGCACATGTGTAAAAATGGATTTTGAATGGATTCTCTTCTTTTAAATTACAGTCTAAAATAGTAACTTCATAATAAAACGAGAATATACAAAGATAATAAAACTACAGTGTTAATATTGACACTAGATGACCTCTTTAAACAATCTAATTTTACATCACACTTCCACAAAACAACAGAAACAAAATGTGATTGTTCAGTTCAGTTTATGTTCCATTTACAGTAGTTTATAAAAAGAGTGCACAGCACTAATGCACCAAACTGACAAATTAAAACATTAAAACATAAACACAAGTGAAAGACTTCAAGAAAACACTGCAGCTTTAACTTTGGTTCTGTTGTGGTAAAAGAGCCGCATGAATCTGATCCAAACAATTTTAAATATTAAATATTATTATAAACACAAGACTTAAAAACACAAACAGGACTTTTCTTAACACTGATTTAAAGTTGCAGCGTCTGCAGAGTCTAGTAAAGTCTAAAGTCTAAAGTCAAGTGTTCACCTGAGAAAAGATTTAACTCACCTCCAAAGGCACAATATGGTAAAAATGATAAAAAACAAAAAGATCCCAAGAAACAGCAGAGGAGCAGATGGAAACATTTTAAACACGCAAAAATACTGAACTTCATGGAGGCGTGTGTCCCGTTGTTCTGGATCATTGTCCTGCTTCACCTTGGTATAATGTGAAAGTCTAAACATATAAACATACAAACTCCTCATATCACCTGACAGAGCGGCTCGACTAGTTCACTTAGATCAGGCATGTCCAAACTATGGCCCGTGGGCCAAATGCGGCACTCAGACAAATTTTTCTTGGCCCTCAGGCTTCCAGGTGAATTGGTCCAAGTTACCATGTATCAATTAAAATTTTACTTTTTACTGCAAGTTTTTGAAAATCTACCTTGATAAAGTGAATATTTAATGTTTACTGTGTGGTTTTAAGGATCTTAGCATGAATAAAGATGATGGCTCATTCTAACCTGTTAAACCTGCACATATTTTAATTATTCATGGTATTGAGCACCAGTTTACAGCCCTCGATCGGCTCTCTGCTTCATCTGTGTTTAGATATGTGGCCCTTGATGAAAAAAGTTTGGACACCCCTGACTTAGATTGTTGGAGGTGACGCCCTCTGTTGGACACATCATATATTGAAACATCTACATTGGCCTCAGTTCAGTTCAGTTTAAATATTTAGTGTTAGTGACTTTACACCATGAAATGAATGAATGAGTTCTTGTAACTTATTCAGGTTTACAGTGAGGACAGAGGAGCCAAAAGTTTAACTCAAGTCATAATTCTGTTACTTCTTATTTATTTAAAACACTGACAGTGCACAGAAAACATTAATCTGACAGAGAAAAGATGCTCTGTGCCAGATTTAGCTGCATTTCCATGTGCAGACCTCAGGCAGAACAACACACATGAAATAAACTATTGACATTACAGCATCTCTGACAACAACATGACATCAACATCCACAATAAAGTTCATCATGAAACATTTAAAACAGTCAAACAGCGTTCATTCTACTTTTCATAAATAAAACATGTTCAGTTCAACATTATCTTCTAAAAATATTCAAATTCATTGTTCTCAGCATCTTCTAAAATGTACAAATTCATCAGAAATGTTATATATTATAATTTATCAACAACATCAAGACAAATGTGACACAGATCTACAGCACCATCAGAATCAGAGCGTCTCGTTTCTCTTTCCTCGTTTCCTTCTCCTCGATTCTCACAGAGGAGACACGGGGAGGACAGAGGATCTAAACTCTTCACTCACAACAATAAAGTTTGATTCTTTCCTGTGGCGTCTGCGGGTTTTTTCGGAAGGTTCAATGCGTGTCCTAAAAAGAAGCACAGGAGATGGAGAATCCGAGAGAACAGGCCACTTTATTTCAGCATTTCCATTGAGAGAGATTCAAGTTGATTACCAAGTACAACTGCCGCCCCGGAACGACGCCTCTGACCAACTCAAAATCAGGGGTAGCTTTATACTACATCTTGACAAAACATTAACTTGTTGATTTAGCATATACAGCAAGAAAATGAACAATACTGCTGACCCAGTGCACCTTATCATGGGTGGGAACATGCCACGGGGTCCACATATGTCAGTTTTTCTGCTTCGTGGCATCTCAAAGTCCAGAAAAACATGTTATATAGACCTATACATAGTCATACGTGTTTTCCACCCTGTTGTCATTCCAAAGTCCATAATATTGGGTGAATTAGCATGACCAACACATAATATTTCCCACACGTCTGCTCCTGAAGCTCCTGAAGCTCCTGAAGCTCCTGAAGCTCCTGAAGCTCCTGAAGCTCCTGAAGCTCCTGAAGCTCCTGAAGCCTCCTCAGGTTCGCTCCTTCACTCTGTGCTTCTCACTTCATATGACACGTTTGATTGACAGCTGAAAAATGAGGATCGAGGAGAAGGAAGAAGTTTGAAGAAGTCGAATGGTGACTCCAGATGTGGCACCGAGTCTTTGACCTCAAGTCCAAGTCAAGTCCCAAGTCAAACACAGGCAAGTCCAAGTCGAGTCTCGAGTCACTGGTCCATAAGTCCAAGTCAAGTCCAAGTCATCTGTTTTGAGCTTCAAGTCATTTCAAGTCTTTAAACCAAAGGACCAAATATAGTTTAGATTTTTACAATTTATATGATTTTTAAACTAAATTGTACTGAAAAAGTCATAGTATTTTTATATATGTATGTATGTACTTGTACTGTACTGTATGTACTGTATTACTGTATAATACTGTATATTACTGTATAATACTGTGTATTACTGTATAATACTGTGTATTACTGCAGTACTTTTGAGTATCTCAGTACTTCAGTTACTGTTGCCATAGTAACAAACAGAAGTGGGAGGGACATGTTCCAGTTTTTTCTTGTAAAATTCAGCACCACATTTATCAACTGTAAAGAGAAAAGTATTTTATAAAAACATATATTTTAGGAGAAGCATCAAGTCTTCTCAAGTCAAAGGGTTCAAGTCTGAGTCAAGTCCCAAGTCAATGACCTTCAAGTTTTCAGGTTTGGAGAAGTAATTTTTAAAAGCAAAATTAAGAAAAAAAATCCAGGTGAGAACAAATGTTCTAAAAATCCCCTTTGGTCTGGAAGAGTTAAACTGTTGTTAAGTTCTTCTTGGCTTGTTCCTCTGAGTTCACCACTGTCTCCAAACACCTTCAAATGTTTGCACGTTTCACTGGTCACTTTGGTTTTGCGTCAGATGCCCTTCCTCACTCTCGTCATGTTCAGGCACTTCTGATGAGTCTGGGTTCAGTGGCTGTTGTTCATTTATGTTCTGACTGTAAATAAAGACAAACACTTAAAGTCAGTGCACAGCTCCTCGACTCCAATGTGTCTGTACAACGGAGATACTCACAGTTCAATACGAGTCTCGGGTCTGGATTCAGTTTCCTGCAGAGATAAAACACACATTCAGTTTGTGTGAGCAGCTCAGTTAGAGATGATCACCCCCCTGAGATTATGTACATTTGTTGTGTTCATTATACCTCCTCTTTACTTCTCTAAACTTATACAATTATACTGTCAAATACTATAAACTGAATATTTTGACAAGATCTGAATATTATTGTCATTTGCCAATTGAATATTTTTATCTTGTAATTTAAGATCCTGTCTGCTCCTCTGGCTCTGCTCTGGATATTTTAAGGCGTGTACTGTGCAGAGATTATAGTTCTTAATAGATTCAGACTCTAAGATCTTCTCATCCATCAAAGCAACTCCTGACAGACCAATGAAACTAGTCCATCCACACTCTCCCGCTGTACAAAAGTGTAACGTTTGTTTTGATGCTTTTGTTGGATGAGACTGAAGTGATTTTAAAATGTCTGAAAAATGACACAGAGAACTGAGCCACAGACAGAGCTTCAGATCATCAGGAGACAAAGAAACAGGAACACCAGGTTCATAAGGCCTTAATAAGACAATAAGGTGTTCTAAAGTCTCACTCCATGAAACAGAGATATCTGAGGAGGCTTGTTCCTGCGTTTACAGCAGCTCACATGTTGCAGATAAATGACTGTGATTGGTCCTTCACAAACTTGAAGGTAATTTTCTGTGACGAGGCTCCAGATGCTTTTCAAAGAGAACGCCAGGGTTCAACTGCTCTGGTCCTGACAGAACAACACAAACAAACTGGATCTGACTCTAGATCTACTCACACAGATACGTTTCCAACAGACGAGAACAATGATGATGATCATCTGGACTAATACGATTGGAATTAGAACAGCGGCTATAATTTTCCACACATCTGAGTGTTTTCCTGCAGAAAGAGAAGAGTGTGTGAATTCTCTGTGTTCAAGATGAAACCAGGAGTCACTGCTCACACTTACTCTCTCTGCTTCAGTGACTTCAGTGAGGATAATAAAGTTCTCCTGTTCAGTCTTGAGTTCACAGGAGAACAGGCCCAGCTGCTCTTTGGTCAGATTCTTCAGGATCAGACTGTTGGACTCTGTGACAAACTGTCTCCAGGACTCAGTGTAGACCGACTCTGGTCCAGACCGACTCAGAATGATCTGATTCTGGTTGAACCTCCAAATGAGACTCTTCACTGGAGCAGAGGGTTCAGTGCAGGAAACTATTGTCACTCCAGAAGCTGAAACATGAAGGTCGACTAAAAACAAACAAAAAAAAAAAAAAAAAAAATTTAAGATAAATAAAAATAAATAAATAGAGCTCTGTTGCATTACTCACTGTTCCTCCTGTAGGTGGCGCTCCTCCAGCTGCCCCTGCTGTTGCTCACATTACAGCTGTATTGATGTGGAGGGCTGTGAGGCAGAGACACAGAGCTGTGCACAGACCACACTCCGCCCTCTGAGGGGGTCACCGTGGTAAGAGCTGCAGAGGAGGGAGGGCTCCAGGACACTGAGGGTTTGGGGTAGACTCCCTCAGATCTACAGAGGAGCTCCTGCCCCTGCTGCTGCAGAGACACTGGAGCTGGAGCTACAGAGAGACGCTTCACTGTCAAACCACATTTACACTCTTACATATGTTATTATCAAAATAATACTCATTATTTACCACAAACAAACACATCCACATAAGACTCTGTGATGGGTTTGTTGACGGCATTGGTGACATAACACTTGTATTTTCCTTCATCCTGAACTTTGACCCCTGAGAGCCGCAGTGATGCGTTTCCTGTGGACAGTTCCTCCTCAAACAGAGAGGTCCGACCTGTAAAGTTCTGGTTCTGGATATGAAACTGGTTCTGACCTTT